GTGAATATAAATGCTTCTACTGATTGAAATAATGAACTTAAGATTCTAGGAACTTCAACTGGCAAGAGACTTTACTTCTTCGAAGCCACCGACACGAATGAGCCAAGCATCGCAATCCCTGCTTCTCATATAGCTTTGTTAAGACGTCCAGTAGTCTATTTTCCTGCAGACTGGGGCAAAGAGTGCCACAACAATGGGCAAAAATTGGGTTTAGAGCCGCATAATGCATCATCAAGTCCATTAATGAGGAAAAACATCACTCAAGAGAGCTGAGAAAGCGTGCTGCGTGCTAGAAACTTTCGTCGAGCCCTCGCATGGTATTTCCTAGTCGTCATGGCGGCGAGAAAGTACTGCAGTACCATAGCATGTATGGTAGGGGCATTGTTATCGTTTCTTCACAATAGATATGAGGTAAAAGTTACGGAGGAATAAGATTTTTGCTCTTTGGCGAAATTCCAATAAGTCGTGTTTCAAATCGAATGAATTCTCGAAGAAGATGATAAAGTGTTTGTTGGCATAAGTGCCCTGAAACTCCTTCACTACTTTTTTACTTAAGATAACTGTAATGAAAACGTCATTCAATAGTCATTCCTTTCGTATCGCATTTTTCCTTCGTACTTGATTCACTCATTAGAACGTTTGTGTAATGACATGGAATAATAGTCATATCATGTGCGACATTCCACATCAATATGCCTTACCATGCTTGACATTCCTCATTATTTAGTCATATCATGCTTAACTTTCCTCATCATTAAATAATATCATGCTTTACTTTCCTCATCATTAAGTAATAACATACTCGACTGTCCTCAATCATTACTCAGCATCAAGAGATCCGGCAGGATCTCACCGCAGTTACTATTACTGGCCGCCGTATCGTTGGCCTGATAAGCTTGAAGTGAGGCCATCGGTAACTCGCCTATGGCTTGCAGTTGGATAATTTAATTAAGCAGCACTTCAGTTCCAGTGAACATAATGCATTTCTCAGTATCATTATGCAGATCAGATAACAGTTATGGATCGTCGAGTGCCGAGTGACCTCGATATTCCGACGCGCCATCCCTGAAATTATTTGCAATTTTATCCTAATTTTAAAGCAATTCCCGAAATCAAGAAAATAACTAAAACGAGTCATTTGAAAGCGTTACCGATGCAACCATGAATGTTTCCATTCAAAATCTCGAAGTAGAATGTTACTAATGTATCCAAATTCGTTCAAGTAGATCCTGTTAATGTACATATATTAATTATATCTCGTTTAGAACACACTGCCTAATTTAATCTTATAGCATAATGTGTTCATGGCAGACATTGTACAGAAAATAGTTTTATTCTAGATTTTTGGATTACCCCAGCGTTGATCGAGGTACATTATTTCTGAAATTGAAGAATCTCGTTATCCTGAATCACGTAATTCTAAATTTGATTACCAATCAGAAAGCTACAGAGATTTCTAATTAAAGAAAGACATGTTCAAACCCACATTTTACAGAGAATATAGAACTACCCTTTAAATCTCATTTCAAAATACGAATAAATTGCTTATTTTAAATCAGAAATATATATAGTGAATTTAAAAAGTTATATTGCGACATGATAAGTAAAACGCGTCCACGCAGCCTCACATATAATTGTGGTGCCAGGACTCAAACACATAAAACTAACAATATGACTCGAATAGCCTTGATCAAATTTTTTCTCTTTTTAGCGCACTTTCTCATTTATGGAAAAAATTCACTATTATTGTGCTCGCCATGTCCGTCTGTCCGTTCGTCTGTCTGTCTGTCCGTCCGTCCGTGACTTCATGTTTTCGTCGACGAGAAAAATGCGCTATCTGCATATCACTCACTACAGTGAGTATATACTGTTTCCAACTTTTTTCGCTTTTTTTTACTCACAAGAGTTCTTATCAGTTTGGACAGACTCGTAAATTTTACCTTCAAGAACATTATTGAGGAAATGCCCAGAAATTGCAGCCCGCCATGTGGCGCTAAGCAGGCGCCCTTACTGCGCAGTGCGCACTATACGCATGTTACGCCTCCACCGCATAGCATGCGTGCACGATGTCTTCTCTGTAGAATTAGATCGCAGAATTTGCTTATTTATTCAAGGTAGATTAATGAACAGAGAATGCAGTTGATTAACATTCTCAAAAAGTCGAACAATTCTTATACTCCCGGAATCAAATGCGTTCTCTGATCATTATTCGAACGTGTATAAGTGTCAAATCAGTGCACCAACTCGTAGTCTTAAAAATTACATGTTATTTTTATTGAAAATGGGTAATAAACGATTATATAATTAATTGATTAATTAAAGTGAAATTTTCATTTTCGTTCCTGGTCATCACAAGGCCCAAAGATAAAAATGTTCAATGGTTCATGAAAAATCTGTCCTGAATCTGCAAAAAAAAAGGCCGAAACAACTTGGAATTATTCATTTTAATTAAATCACTAAACCTTTTTCCCAGCACTCACACTTGAAAATTTTGACGGCTGTTACTACGACTCAGCACTCGAAGCTACTTCTCCCAGCCCGATTAATCCCGAGGATTGCCGAGCCTGGAATTTTCAGTCCTTTTCCTCTTATATTTTTGTTTCCTTTTCCTGGTATATATTTATTTTAGTTTACACGTCACGCCAATTCCTAATATTTATTTACTGGATTATACACGTCACGCTAATTCCTCATATTACTTTACTTTGCATTACACGTCACGCCAATTCTTCAAATTACTTTACTTTTGTTTACACGTCACGCAAATTCCTCATATTTATTTACCAGGTTTACACGTCACGCCAATTCCTCATATTTATTTACTAGGTTTACACGTCACGCCAATTCCTCATATTTATTTACTAGGTTTACACGCGCCCCCACGTCGCGTTAAGGGCGGGAGCGTTCTCTCTCCCACCGCCGGGTATCGGGCGCAGCGGAGGCGTTATTAACGTAGCTATTCATCGCCTCCTGTTTCAGTCGACGGTGTAAATTGAGTTAGGCTGATATGGTGAGTAATGCGGATAGAAAACGTGTCAGTAGCTCTTTCTTTAGTTATTCGATGCTTTTAGGCGACTTTTTTTTGTTGGCAGTCGAGCATTACTCGACTCGGTAACTGCATAGCTGCAGTAAAATTATACATATTTTCCTATTGCACTTATAGGTAACAATAACTTTTCAGTCGGTCTCTCTAACTTTCTGAGATAAAATATAAACTAAGCATTGCATAACCATGAACTACGCCAAGACTCCCGAAGACATAACTTTATTAATGCCAGTAAACTCGTGGCGTCACAGTACAGAAAACATATCGCCTTATAAGCGAAGTTCTGAGCGCTTACGTCCACATGTGGTAGCGCTCGAGGCTGGTCGAGCACGCGCTTTATGCGCCATAGTTGACTATAAATGACACCTCCGTTATTTTAAGGGCTTCTTTAGCCAATGTTGATGCTCTTGCCGCTGCTCTCTCGTCAATTGCGGTGTAACAAACGCAAGACACCCGCGCGTTTAACTGCCCACATGGCTGATAAAGCCATCACAAAGAAAGGCATGGGTTTATATAGGTAGTGTGACTAGGTCCAAGTAAACATTCTTATCGATAAATATATTACGGTCAGAGATAATTATCGAGAGTAAACGAAATATCGTATATATAATGAAACGAAGTACGTATCGTATTCTGTGACCTATGAAAGGAAAATTTGAGACAATTGACATTTATTCTATGCAAGGCACTAATTGAGACGACTTATACTTTCCGGTTTCCCCGTTGCTTGAAGCGAATATAGTGTTTTAACAATTACAAATATCATGAAACGCACTTCGCCACTCGGGTTACAACAGATTAATTCTGTGAAAAAAATATATATCATACAGAATTCCTCCCACAACAACGCCTGCATGGCTAGAGATCTGGACCATTATACACTCTGCGTTCATTTTGTCAGTTACATTGCAGAAATTCAAGACGGTTACATTTTAAAATATAATATCACTAAAATTTGAGACTTTAGCTCTGCGATGAATTTAAGAAGAGAGTGTGAATATATTTATATATATATTTATAAGTTAGTATCAGAAGGCAGAATAAGCTTGTTTCAACACGGGTGGTTAATGGCCAGAGAATTCGTCAATTTAAATTTTCAGGGTCGAACATTATTCTTCAGATGACATTAGTTGATCAAAATGCAGGTTCAAGGGAGTAATATCACTTTATTAACGACGTTTCGAATGTAACAACATTCATTTTCAAGTTACAGGAAGCATTGAATACAGAAATTTTGATGGAAATAAGTACATGATGCAAGTAAATAGGATACAACACGAAAATCTGGAACCATGAAAATAATTCCAAAACAATCTCAAAGCTTAAAAAATCAGGTAGTTATGAGATGAATAGATGGAGTCCAATCCGCAGAAAAGGGCTTCAGCTATCGTCGGTCGGATTATGTCGGGCCACCGCAAGATGACGATGCTGGTGGGTTCCTCTAGCGCAGTGCAAGTGACAGTCTCGTTGAGATTGACGTTGTCGAGAGTGTCACGGGGCCAATTGATTTCATCGTTGTTGTATCCTATTTACTTGTATCATGTACTTATTTCCATCAAAATTTCTGTATTCAATGCTTCCTGTAACTTGAAAATGAATGTTGTTACATTCGAAACGTCGTTAATAAAGTGATATTACTCCCTTGAACCTGCATATTGATCAACTAATGTCATCTGAAGAATATTGTTCGACCCTGAAAATTTGAATTGACGAATTCTCCGGCCATTAACCACCCGTGTTGAAACAAATATATATTTATATATATAAATAGCTAATAGCGAAGCGTCTTGCAGTTTCCGGTCTTTGGTAGGCGTGAAAAGAAGACCATCCGAACTTATAACGCCCATTTTTAATACCTGAGATTAGTTATTCGCCATAGTTATTAATATTTTCTATTTATTATTGAAACATATTAACGTGGATGGCAAGTCTGAAGAAAATTAGATACAACAGCTCAAGCTTCAATTTTATTGCGTGAATCACAAATCAAATTTACAATTTATATAGATATTTTTAGATCTCACTTCCGATTTTCAAGCGCCTCGAGCGACGTGAAAAAAGTCTCTGAAAAAAGTGAAACATCACAATTTTCGGAAATAATATGACAATTTCTTTACATTTTTCATTGTAACGAGAGTTCCATCAATAACATGCAAAATAACTCACTTATTCTAAAAATATATATGCGCATCATAAAGAGTATGGAAGTATTCAACGTAAGATATTTATAATAGATTAACGAATCTTACGAAGAATATATTGCGTTAAATGAATCCAGAAGCATAGGAGCCCAGGATGCTTAGAAAAATGTTCATAGATCCGTAGTGAAATTGTAACATGCTGGAATGATAATATGTCTGTCTAACTTAGGGGAAAAAAGAAGACAAAATTTATACAAAAAAAAAACGTTAAAAAAATTGAACGATCCGGTAAAATATGTTTATTGCAGCAAATATCCACATTCAGTCGAAACATTTGTTTGAATCGCATACAAGCAATTTCAAAATTTTATTTCGACTGCATAAATTGAAAGAGTATATCATAACAGCTTTGCTCAGAACACGTACCAGATTGTGGCTGCCTTTAAAAACGAATTAAAATTTGTTTGAAGTGTAGGAGAGAAGTTTGAAAATGTTATTTTCGCAGCATAAATGCAAAATTCAAAGCCGGTTTTTCCTTGAACATTTGGCCGATTGTGGCTGCCATAGAGATAAATCAACATTTTTTGAAGCGAGTCATAGAAGTTGGACAATTTCGTTTCCCCTGCCTGCATAAAAGGACAGTACAAAGACGGCTTTGCTCAGAACATGTGGCAGAAGTTAGCCGCTTTGAAGACAAAGACCGCGATGTAGATGAGCATAAAGGCTCGGTCCAGTACGGCGGCGAAGAGCATCCAGTCGGCGTGCTTGCCGTCGGCAGGGACAGCGTCGGGGTGGTCGGCGGTCATGGAAACCTCCTCTCCCTTCACGGACTTCGGGAAGGACCCCGGATACGAACTCTCAACGGACTGAGCAAAAGTTACAATGCGTTCAAAAATGCAACATTATATCTAAAATATATAATATATTATTGTGAAAAAATCGTACAGTTAGGCAGCATCAGAAGTTAAAATGTCCCGTACCAGGAAAAAGATTAGTGTTTTCAAAGCTAATCCAGGAGATCGAAAATACGTGTATGACTGCGAAAAAGTCGTGATGGTAGAAGGCATCAGAGGACGTCTAAAAACCCAACGAAATGTTATTACTTGAACTTGAGAGCTTTATAGGAAAACTGTAGACAAATTATCCACGGCTGCAGTTATATGGAAAAAATCATTAGTTATAGACGCTTTAAAAATTGTGCGAACGTCATTTAAGAATCAACATGTATCTTCATCTGTCAGATGCATCATCAAAAAGACGAATAATGTTAATATTATATATCAGGTATAATTAATGTTCTTAAGATATTTTAATTCACGAACAATTAGTTGGTTTAGTTTCTGCTCGGTCATTGAAGGGAAATCACATATTTACCAGTTTTCTGTAGCCCGGCAGACAGAGGATGTACGACAACATGGACGAAAGCCTACGCAGGGGTGCCGGCAGGCGCGTGCCGTGCGGGGCTCGGATCATTCGCAGCATGAAGGCAGTTTGGATGAGGAACAGCAGCGTCAACGCGAACTGACCGTTCATCAAATCCACTGTAAAAAGAAAAATATTCTTTAAATAATCCTAATAATCCTACAATATTTCCCTCAAAGTCCTGCTAAATCAGTCTAAATTCATCTCCAAAAATGAGTTGGAAGCATAATTTTTAAGGTGTACTATAGCTGAATGCATTTGTTATGAAATACGGCCAACCCCCAAAACGTTCTGGATAAAATAAAAAACTGCATGAGAAACCATCTAGAACAAAGGCTGATGTCTTAGGTGCAGAAATTTTGATTGGAATAATATCATTCTTTCTATTTGTCAGAGGGATGAACAAATTTGCCTGAATGTAAAGTGATGCTGATGAGCGGCACATTTTTTTAAAATTATCTAACGGCGATGGCTGATGTGGCAAAGGTCTTGTGCGCCAGACTTTGGTTTATGGTAATAAAGCAATATTCCAGAATTGTAACTTACATACAAGAGGTGATGATGCCGGAGACTTGTGTGCCAGACTCCCGATGTAGGTAATGAACTGCAGCTGCAGGATGAACAGCAGCAGCCCGGCCACGAGTCTGGCGTGCGACAGGATCAGCAGCGGCGGCATCAAGCCAGTCGCGACGGTCAACACTGCGGTCACAAATTCAAATTCATTACTAAAGTTTTTATTTAGATTCACCAAGAAGAAATTCAATGTATTGTGTAAGCTTCAAAGTAGATAAGATAATCTGTAATGAATACAGTTAAAATCATACATATAAATTTGAAAATAACGCTTCTGTATAAACAATTTTACCGAAACTAATGAGTTTATTTTTCCTTAACCCTCTACCGCTGTATGTCACTCTCCGGTAACATAACTTTCGACTTAAATTATACGTAAACTGTCGAGTGTAGCAACCTGAGGACGTTTGTACGCAACAGAGAACATTTTAAAGTTGTCTGTTGTCGTACGTGGTGCCAACCATCAGTGCAAGTCATTTTGCGCTCACAAGAACGTATCCTTTTTGGGTAGGCTTGTGTGATAGTATTGCCTCTTTTACTCGTGTCAGGCGGTAGAGGATAAATCATTATTACAGTTTATTGGTGTCGCCTCATCTTATTAAGCGAAAATATCTTCCGAAATGTAAACCAAAATTTATCCCCCAAAACACAATAAGATGCTTCCTTGCTAACAGAAATTTCTTACCAAGAGCGACAGTTTTGATGGTCCAAGCGAGCGAGGGAGCGTCGCGCCGTATGATCAGCGACAGCGTCAGGTCGACGTAGTCTTCAGGGCAGCACGGGTACTTCTTAGCGTGGCGCGCCACGGTGCTGTCAAGCACCTCCCACGACTGTCGTGATACGAAGTTGCCTTCCTTCGTTCGTGTCGTGATTTCGAACTGTTTACAAATAAAAATTTATGTTTCCTTCGTATCCGCAGCATGTACGTCTCTTTGTAGGCCTAAAAATTTTGTAGGCCACGCTCTGTAGGCCTAAAAACAAACAAAAATGCTTAAGTAAAGAAACTAAATTTTGCGTCTGATGTCGTTTGAAGAAGATATGGAGTGAAATTAACAATTTGTGTGTGCAAGATACAATATCCAATTGGTTTCAAAACAAATATGGTGTGACAACTCCTTGCCTCCACTCCTCCATAATCGATCTTTTATAAAAATAATATATTTAAATCACAATAAAACAACGGAAAGTTATAAGAACTAGCAAATTATCAAGGTGGATTTGGGCAAATGGATTCGTACGTTTTTCCTAAATGTTCTGACGAACAGTAATGTGATGAGCGGAAAATACAAAGATAAATTTTAAATAACAATGAATGTTACTTAAATTTAACTATTGTCGTTGAAATACTACATGGAATTGAACCAAATTGCGAATTATTCTTTAAAAGGTAGCTAAGAACAAACTCTAAGTAGAAACCCAAGTAATATAGGAAGCAAGAACCACTTCGGAAAGATGCATAACTTCCACAGTGCTGTGATAAGGAACCTTTTTTTTATTTGAAAAATATAGTTTTAGTACATTATGAGCAACAAATGATGAACGAGATAATTTGTAATAGTTTATATGTAGACAAAGAGAGAAATTACATAGGTTGAAAGTGAATTTACTTATATTACATATGTACAGTAACATTTGCGTTCTTGGGCAACATTATCGGTAGAAGAATGTCTTCAACAAGAGTTTTTAGCTTTACGCACAAGTTTCCGAATAAACTTTGGCAATTTAGTGTTAATAAAATTCCTCTAGACTTACAAAAAAGACGCGTAGTGAGTTAGCTAATTATAGTTCAATGGATATTCAGTTGGAACCAAAGATTTAGCGAATCAAAATGGTCGAGAAAAGCTGGAGTGAAGAGTATCCTAAAATTATATAAATTGACAAAAAGCAACAATTAAATAAAAACGAATTTTTAGAAGAATATAAACTCAAGTGAATGTTAATAAGGATCTAGACATAATTCTAAAACTGATAAAAGTCAGAATATTGTTTTAGTTCCACCAAAAAAACCCTGAAAATCACAAAAAATCATTTACAATTCACGCCTAAAGCTCAAATACAAACAAACATCAATAAAGCGAGCCACCTCTGTTCAACAACAACAAATTAAATAAGCAAATTATTGAAAACCCCGGAGAGTAAATCAACAACAATAAATTACTTCCCTCAAAAAAAGCGTTAATAAGCTTATAATAACTTTTGAAAGTACCTCCACCTTTGGCTGGTCATCCTTGGGCCTGAGGTCGATCCTGAGGCCCGAGTAGACCCAGGAGCCTATCTTGGCCGAGCAGTTGTGGACGTCAACGGGCCAGTACGTCATGTCCAACTCGCATGCCACGGGCAACGTCACTTGGGGGACGTGCAAGATTTTGCCATCGGGGAACGCGAGCACCAGACATTCTTCATTAGTTTGCGTGCCGCGGAGAAGGGCTCTTAAATACAAAGATTCATCAGATTTTATTACGACTACTGAAGAGTCCAAATATAGTTTGTTTATTAATACAAGATCGTAAAACGGTAGGATGTTTCAACCGCGCTCAAAATTATTCAGATAGCTATACAAAGAATAGATTTGACCATCATAGTGTAACGGAATCTCATAATGAAACGGAATGCTGTTCCTGTATAATGAAACGGAAAATAAATGAAAACAAGGTGCGCTAATATTTTACAAGTATCAGGTAAAATTTTTACTTAGTTGCTATTTACCTGTTGTAGAGTTTCAGGTCCGGCCTCCACACATCGTCAGGCCGGAAGGCGATGCGGTCCACGTCAGGAAATTGCGCCACGTCCCACGTGAGTCGAGGGTCAGCCCATTCCTGTTCGCATGCAGTGTGAATTAACATAACATAACATAATTAAAATAACAAAACATAGTGATCTCGGCGCTGAAGTGTAGGCCTGATGTGACCTGTCGCCAATTCTTTTCCTTTTCGTGCTTTGTTCACAGAAGATCTAAAATCGTGTCATTTGACCGTATCTTTTCACGACTGACGATAGTTTGAAATAGCTACTCGACTTCCACCGGGTTGAGAGTATTTACTCGAGAGAAATTACTTACTAATGCTTGAGTAACTTCCAGAATTATTGAAGGAAACCAGATTATTGGTGAACTAGCCATCAACTGTGTGCATGTTAACATTTCAGTCATAACAAGTAATTTTCTATGTAATTACCGCTCGCTGTTCACACAGGAACGAAACATGCTTATAAGCCCATTCATGTCGGCGCTATAATGGACCCGCTAATGGTAATCGCGTAAACTCATGTTGATTACGTTAAGCGAATCTACTATTAATAATCTGATGCATATTCAAATAGATTAATTCTAAGGTAATAATATTGAACAAATAGATGAATTGTGGTAAATAATCATGTTTTTCTTCGTCATTAAATTTAATGCATAAGTAAACTAAGAAGATACTCTTTGCAATCAAAAAGTAATCATTGTCAAATACCAGCAGTCGTGTCAATCAACATATGCAGCCCTCATCAATAATTTAGTATGGAAAGTATTAGAACCACACACTTTAAAAGCAATTTGATAAGGATTGGGCATGCATTGATGTCGACCAAACAATATTCAAATTCATCTATCCTCATCCATGCTATCATCATGCAATATATGACATTGATTTATTAAATTGCGAATTCGAAACATTTCGTGTTCGATGCTTGGAACTTCAAAGCTTACAGATCTAGACATGAATTCTCCCTTGAATATATCGAATGACAGGCCATCATTTGTTTGAAGGTAAATTTCTTGACGATTTGACTCACCATTGCAATCCACGCATCGAGGATCATGGCATTCTCCTTTGAATCCTGAAAAAATACAAACATACTGATTGAGAAATGCAAATTCAGAGTCAAACTATATCACTGAAATAAAGCAGTAACCGCTCTATTTAGTTAGTTTTCTTCACATCTCAGCAGCAAGAGGTTTTCTGCGAATCAGGGGGGACTTGATTATACAAAGGTATTCGACCTTCATATTAATAACCAATAACAACTTTATTATTGATTGAGAAGCTCGAATGTTCACCAATATATAACATTTACCAATATAAAAACAAGGAAGATATCATAAACTAAGATTGAAATTACAAATTCTGAAGTAAAACTAAAAACAAACCAGTCACTTCTAAAGGAACTTTATTTCCTCTGTCATTTTCGTGTAACTTTGTCCATCTTTTTTTATTTTTTGAACTGCTCTCATTTGTGAAGATTAAAAATAATTATTAGTATTTCTATTTTAATTTATTCCTACCACGTCGATGTCCAGAATAGTGAAGCGCGCAGTAACGTTGGTAAGTTGGTTGGGCAAGGAATACTTGTCATAGTTCTCCATGAGCTGCTTTCTGACGATCTCTTCGTTGGAGCCCTCAACCACCACGGAGTCTGCACGCAACATTAAACATATACAATCATATTATTATATATTATTATATTATATTATATCATATTATATTATATTATATTATATTATATTATATTATAAATAATTTATAATATCAATGGAAACTCATAAAGAAAAATAATAACATAACAGAGCTCACATACAATGGTTTTGTTGTATTTATATGAGAGAAGACTTGTATGATACTTGTACACGAGAATAAATTTGACGATGGAGATACGAGTTGTAGAACGCTATGTGTAGATGTTTAGGCGCCCTACGTGTACAACGCAAAACATGGAGTAGCCATTTTGCTCGAACGCATCTCAGGAAAACAAATGCGTTGAAGATAATTATATTTACAATATATAGTCTATATAGAGTACTTTGAGCCGACGATAATAGATAAGGAAGCAAGCAATAATTCGATATCAACTCACTGCGCGGTTTATTCGGCTATCCATTTAAAAGAACAGCACTCATAGTTTGCTGCGAATTGAGGCTTAAGTGCATCACAAAGAGCAGATTGATGCAGCTGCACTTCACGATGGGAGTCAATGCAGCCCTAGATTGCCGTGACCGCCAGTAGCCAATAAGCGGATGTTGTAAGAGTGCGAACGTCCTCTCATACGTTGCGTAGCTGAGCCCCAGCATGAGCTGCATTGAGTTACACTCGAAAAAATAAGAGGGTCATAATGTCCAAAAATTGACACACTTACTGCGCGTAGCACTCTTGTGCTGGGCCAAACAGGGTCAGGATTACCCACAAGAGGCCAATGGATGTTACTTGGACGAAGTCTCTATCAGTTCTATGAGTGTAACATATATCACACCGGCAACCTTGCATGCATTCAGTGCAGCTGCTCAATGAATAATATGGGTTGTATTATGTGTCTATTTTTTCGTTTGTATAAATAAAATTTGTTGAATGACTTGCATCTTTCAGCTTGTTTATTTTAAAAGTTGCATGACTTGCATCTCAAGCGATGTTTCGATCGTCCCCTTAGCATTATGCAAGTCATCTTTACTAGCTTAAATTTTGGATGCATCGCCGTGTCAAGCTAAATATTTTTATGTAAATTTTCACCACATACACAGTCCATGTATGGATTTTTCAAGAACCATTATTTTCATGGGGATTTGAATTTAATAAACGTATCGTATTCACAAGCGTAAGATTCAGTTTTTGAATCTATTCATCAATCACATACAAACTATGTTCTTTGGATTGTAATCCTCGAAACAAAGAATATCCTACTTTATTTTCAGCTTCTTTATCATCAACTAAGATCAAAACGGTGGCGTCTTTTTTTGCGTTGGAGCAAACAGTGAAATTTCTTCAATCGGCCAAGTAAGCATGCCTGACGGTGTTGCTATAGCAAACAATTCAAGAAAGCTCATTTCGCCTCGAGATCTTCCCACGAATATCAACAGATCGCACTCCGCAACACACGCTGTATTACGGAGATCTGTGTGCCGTGGCTCTTGTGAATGCATGCACTGCAAACTGAAGTTTTGTGGAAGAATTGGAACAAAGGCGGCATTCTGGCTTGGCCTAACTTGCATTGCAAGTGAGCATACAGAAAAAGTAATTTAACTAATGGAAATATAATTTGCTTGAAATACAACATCTATCATGATAAGTGATATGAACTTAAAGTACCGAATAACTTTATCATTTTTCAAATGACGTGAAGAATTCATTCATTGTAAAATTTTAATAAGTGAATTAGGTGAGTGAAGTAGTGGCCGAATTCAGTTGATATAGGTTGTTCCTTGAATCAACCTTCAGATGATGGTCAAATCAGCAGGGTTTTTCTTATCAACGATAGACTTTGTCCTCGAATAATCCCTGACATGAACGACTAACCAGCTTGAAACCATTGGTAAACGACCGAGACTTCAACTAAAATTCGACGCGGGCCTGAGGCCAACATCAGTTAAGTTCTTAGAGTAAACATTTAAGAAGACAGAACAAAGGAAGTTGACAGTACAAAGGTTCTGAAATGACACGAGTAGCATTGTGCTGTGCGGCATCGGTGACGAAGAAATAGGATTGATCGAAAGGAGCCATGTTTGATCAGATGCTTGACGCGATGTTTGACCCGATTCTTGACGCGATGTTTGACCCGATGCTTGACGCGATGTTTGATCAGATGCTTGACGCGATGCTGGATTTGATGCTTGGCTCTATATATGATTGATGCAGCGCATCAAAATATTGACTAAAAATGGGATTTCAGATCTAATAATTAGCCATCGTGGATTCATTAAATCTACTGAATTTATTACTATCCAACGTTAACATTTTTGCAGTTTAATCCGTTTTTTCTTAGAAAGTAAGATTGTAATTTGTAATCAAGAACTTTGCGCAAAAATGTAAGAGAAAATTCAGATGATAAAATTTTTTTATGCGAAAAACCTTTGTAATCCTGATTGTAATCCTGATGGTTGAAGAGAAGAAAAAAATGTGTGAAAATGAAGTCTGGTCGAGGGAAAGAAAAAAACTTCTTCCGAAAAAATTCCTTCTTCTTACATTTGTAAATTCTTTTGCAAAAGCCTGGCTTCAATCGCCAACTGAAATTTTGCGCCCGCAAACTGAAAATTGGATTTCACAGGCATCACTGGGAAATCTCGTTTGCATCTCAACGGTCACGTACAGGGAAATCTCGAACACTTCTAGGTTTCTAGTTCGGTATATTTTCAAAACTTAAAAAAAATCTTCCTTTGCCGATCAAACATTTGTTTGCGGCGCGACTGCACCCTGGGACTGATCTTGAGTTCAGAGCAAAGGTCAACTCAAATACGAAGTGATGGCAATGTGAGCAGAAACATCAAATATTATTTTGTAAGACGTATTTCTTCCTACGTTACAGTTGAGTTGCTATACAAAAATGTCCTTACAATAGCAAATAAAAGCCATTCGGTTACTGGATGGGACTCTGAAAGATAAATTTCGTTTTCGCTTATCTACTGGCGTATATCGTGAGCTATGTAACTCATCAGTGATTTTTGTTATAATTTTCATTCAATCTTTTGACGCAAATTGTTGCATTCTTTCTCTATGCTGCGATAATACTTTTCCTTGCACATTCGTAGCTTTGTAAAAATAAGTCGGAACTAAACAAACATGACAGGAACAACTCGTTTTATCAACTGGAATTGCAGTTAAAGTGTTCTTAAATGTTTAGTTCAGCACACCACAGGAGCAGTGGGCGCTTAGCAATGCATTTATAGCAGCTCGTTTGTGTCTAATAGCTTCAGCAATGGACTGTTGCTCCTCGAAAATAAAAGCCGGATTAGACCCGGCCGCCCCTGGGCCTTCCTTAGGCCGCCTATAAAATGCCTGTGACATTTCAAGGAAATTAGCTTGTCCGGACCTTCAGAAGTACGAAAACGCTTTTGATCCTTGCCAGGCATAGCTGAATGCTGCTCTATTTATTAATTACCCTAAACAAGGTTGTTATTGAGTTGTGTTGTTGGCCATGCTGGAACCAGTAGGAGTCCGGCTTCTTTGTCATGTTTTGGAAATCTAGTAAAAGAGATAATAATTCACACATAATCTCGTTGAGGGTGGTTTCTCTATTTTGATTGAAGTTTTGAAATAAGAGTGTCTTAATTTTTTCCTAAAAATCAACTGCAGTGAAATCTTTTTGCAGTTTTGAGCCAAACGAATAAGATTAATTTCATATAAGTCTTAAGCGTTAGATAAATTTCTGTCATTTTTTCATTACCATCATGCCAGCAGAGAGCAGAAGATTTATTCTTTTCTTATCAGCGATGTAAATTGGCAAGGAAGAAGCCCATATCAACGCCCCTCATTTGGTCCATAATAGGTGTATCTTTTTAGGTGATAGATCGGCTCGAGTTACACCCTCCGAAAACCTGTTCTTCTCTAAAACATTGACGCGAGTGAACCCAAAGCTCGGCCAACCTTTCTTGGAAGCTTTCGGAAGTTGCCAAAATCTCCGACGGAGTCGAGCGGGATTGTGATAAAATTCTGGGCCGTCAGTTGCGATGCCATTACGGGCCTTGACGCCTGACGTGCTAGCCCCAATCTAGAGCCCTGGCGGTTTGCGTAGGCGGCTGCCTGCATACCCAATTTTTTTTCTCGAGATTTACCTTATTATGTAGATTATAGAAGAAATTGATAGTTATTTTGTATCTTCTTCCGCATATGTATTCCGTCGTAACTGTATCGACCTTCATTAATGAGGGACTATCGCCTGAACCATTTTGGATCCATGTACGCCGATTGCATGGGTAACTGGATCGTAAAATGAACGTCTCTATTCGACTATCTTTTAACGGTGTGATCGGAGAAGAAATAAACAAGCTTGACGCGTAAACGATCAATTCGACGTGTTTTACAGCTCGTTGGAAAGGCTTTAGCGTCGCAAGACCGACCGATAAGTGCCTGGCCGCTGTGGGTAAATACTACCGCAATTTAACTTGGAAGCTGCGACCGCCCAACTCTGAGTAAATCTGGCTTACTTTTTGGTAGAATTAATCGCTTTCTTTCTTTTTGACTATAATTTATTTATAATTAGATGTTTTAGGAAAAACACACATTCTGTTGACCAATGACAGTCAGAGGTTTAGAGTCTATTAGAAATTAACTGGGTTGATCAAAAAAATTAAAAATCAAATCAAATTTTGATCAAAAAGTTGATCAAAAAATTTCCTTTCAATAGTTATCCCTTAAGAACATGATCGAAAACTCTACATTAAACATATTTTACAATAAATTTGATAGCACACGATTTCTTGCTCTAACAACCAGCTGACTGAATCTAACATAAAGTTTACAAACCTTCAGAGTATGTTGAGCGAGGTAACTCATATCATACTTACGGACGATGGCTACGAATATGAAACAGAATGCAGCCCGCATAATGCAGAGTCGGCACGATGATCTGGAAAAAACATAAAATATTCATCTTTAGCATCATTGATAGGCAGTTGCGTGCAATTGTTTTGAGCTTCAAGTATCAAATAAAAATCATTTTATTTATCCAAACAATTTTAATCTGGAGACCGTCTCAAATTTCTGTCAAACGAGGAGCGAAATTGAGGGCAAAAACTTTTCAGAATTATGAAGAAATTACTTAAATTTACAGACATGATTATTAGTGTAAATTTTGTAGTTTTATGATATATTGAGGTTGCATTGAAAAAAAATTCATTCCTACTCATGCAAGCAAGAAAATAAATATATTTCTCTTTTACTTTCTGGGGGCAATTCATGGAACTCCGAGGAAAGAATAAATAAATATTTTTTGATAGACTGAAATTGTCGCTAAATGAAAATTGTTTTTGAATGGCACCAAAATTTTACATATCATTTCAAAACATCGCAGTAAAAAGACTAACTAAAGACGTTCATAAATCAAGAATTTTAGTCTCTCATGTATGCAGCCTCTTCCTGAAAGATTGTCTAAATTTTTGTCAAATAATTTTTGGAAACTTCACGTTCAAATTACGAAAACCTCATTTTCGCTCTTCCTCGTACTTCTGTAAAATGTATGAGTGGCTGAAAAAGTGCGGACAATAAACTTGTAACCGCTCAGGCACCGTACATTTTGCATAGTACACATCTGCTAAATTGTGCTTGAACTTGTAACAACAAATCCATCTAGTGCAACGATGACCCTGGAGGATAATCATGAAAGCAAATGTTGAAACCTTCTTTATTCCTGCCAGAACTGTCATTTATTTATCGTCGGGCCAGCTAGGAGGCATGTAGATGATGTATACCAAAATTAAACATGTTGTTCACCGTGTTGCTCACGCAGGAATTTTATGTTAGATTTGCAAAGTAAACTACAAAGCAAATGCAAATTATGCTTTAATTCTTCCGAAATTTTGTTTTACGAATATTACAGATGATAATTACAACATGATAATTTAATATTGATTTTTAACCTTTGTTTAATATTTCTGCTGGTAATCGAATGAAATGTTTGCACGTGCTAACTGTAAAAACATTTTACAAGAACATTCTCTACTAAAAAAGCGAGCGGTGGCATTCACCTTGACTTCTATTGATAGAACTGGAAAATGTGCCCTGTATTTCCTTAGTTGCAGAGTTACAGGGAATATTGGTCCGTCTAAGCCAAGAAATGACTAGGACGATTTCTGCAGCCCGATACGGCCGAGCAAATATTGAGGTTTGCAGTCCGGCTAACCCGGCCAATGGATGAGAGGATTGCGCTCCTCTATAGAGCGGCTATAGCGGACTTCAGCCTTGGTGCACGTCTATAGGATATTGCCTATACACTTATAAGCTATTGCCACACTCATAGGCTATTGCCTATACCGTCACTGACTTGTAGGATATGGCCTATAGACTAAGAGGTTACTGCGTTTGAACGTTTTTGAACGTTCAATTTTGTTTGAATAGCAGCAATTTTGAAAAATTGAACGTAGTTTTTACACTGTTGCAGTGGACATCGCAATAATAAACAAAAGAAAGTACGTTCGTTTCAATCAGCGTACCTCACTTTAATGACCAACTGCAGTAAATCAGCTAAATATCTAAAGCTAGTTTGATTGAAGACCAGAGCATGCTTTTTGTTAACTATCTTCTTGTTCTTCTTTTCAATGAATTTCAATTCTGTTCAATGCTCTGGTCTTCAATCAAACTTGCATAAAAGAGAAGCTTCTGCCGAACTACACCAATATCTAAAGCTGTATACAAATCAAAATTTAAATGTTCATTTTGGTTCTCTGTTCGGCATATGAAAAGTTCTAGGACACAAAAATATTCTGTAAAACATTTACCCATTTTTATGCCAATTGCACCAAGTCTATTTATTTTATCTGGAAGGGCAATCTCGTTTAAAATGTGTTACGTACTTAGCAGTTCAAATTGGTTGTTCGCTCTTTGAGTCAGAAGTTAAAAGTGAGTCTACCTCCCTGATCTCTTTAGCTCTCGTGTAGCAGGTTCAACATCTCGTTCCAGCAAAACCTACACGCTTCAACCCAGGTTGTGCCAGCAATCTCATCTGAATTCGAAGCAGCTTAGTGCTTGTTGGCGTGATTTACGTAGAAGAAGAGCAGGCCAGGGGTTACGCTGGTAGTGCGTTACCTGCAATTGCTTATGAAATTTATGGGCTAGCAAAGAAATGAATTGCCTCTTCTTAGAAGGGAACGCGTTTAAATAAAATGCGTATGGGCAGGTGAACTGTTTTGGTGATGGGGTGACTCATTCTTTTTTACTATAATTGAAGGTGAATAAATTACTTTTTTTAATATAACCACACATTGGAGTGATTGTTGAAGTACACTAGAACATCATAATATATATTTACTAGAGCCTAATGAGGAAGATCCACTAGAATATCAAACTAAACATGCACTAGAACACCGTGCTACAGATGCACTAGAATATAAATTAAGTCATGTACAAGTGAGTATGTAGTTCCGAAGCTACATAAATAGGACTGCATAGTGTTAGAAATAACTCATGTAACTACACGTAGCACTTGAGTTATATACGAACACAGTCGTTGTGCATGATGTCGTGAGTCAGGTTTGGTATATTAGTCCAATAATTCATACATTGTATGAGGTTTTTATATATGGATTGTAAATTGCAGGTCTCTTTTAGTTTAGTATTAAATTTTAAATAAAATCGTTAAAAAATACCATGTCAATTCTGGTTTAAAATAGAAGGAAGCTAACTATGCACGGCCTGCCAAGGGTCGGACATGTCTGGTCAGGAATTCTAATAAGGAAGCTGGTGGCAAAAAGCGGCTGTTGATTAGGCCGACTCCACCCAAGATCGGTACGCCCTCTGCAGGCTGCCCGGCAACTCGTCAAAAAAACTCACTACTCTACACTCTCATGCTCAAAAATCAGGGGCCATACTTTGAAAACTCGCTAAGTGAACGTAAGTACTTACGCTCTATTTTATTGTCTATAAGTGGTGGATTTTGCCTGAAAGGCCGTCAATATTTGGCTGATGAACTTACGATCTCTTAACTTTATTTGAAAGATATAGGCCCAGGCCTATATATGATCGTAAGTTGGTCGGTGGTCGTAACCAAATGCGCAGTCACATAAGGTAGCGTTACAAGACGAGGCTCTTGAATCTGGTGCTTGGCGTTCGTAATTGGCGGTTACGAATACAGTGAATGGTGTCGATACTCAAACGATTCATGATCCTTTCAATAAAAGTGAGTATCTGATTCAAGATAATCCAAACCAACACCGATGACGTACGGTATTCGCTCCAAGTATAACACTCTTGACAATCATCAACGAGATCTAATAGTAATAGTAATGATAATATTCGCTGCGATGGAGTTGAAGTCAGAATTGGCAATCATAGAAGTTTGTTGAACGGCGTAACTGCATGAAATCCTGTATTCTAAATCGCACTATCGTGATTCACTTCTTCAGTCAGTCATAAAAATTGCAAACTGTTATACACATATTGTACATATTTATAATATAAAAACCAAATTAAATATCTTACAAATATTTTTTTATATTTTTATTTTATTCTATTTTAATTATATTTTTATATTTTATTTTCAAACTAATAATATTATATTATATTAAAAAAATATTATTAGTTCGGCCAGCTACATAAGAAGGGATAAATTAAAGTCTGGAGATGGAGGAGGTTGTGCTAGCCCAGAGATACAGTCCGTCCCAGTCAAAATTAGAAGCAGTGTAGGAGCTGGGCCGGCGCTGAACCAAGAGCACGATAGAAGCATGAGGGAAGCAGGAATCCAGCAAGGATGTCCGCTTATTAAGGTGTTCAAAACGTTCTGCGTAAGGCCTTATTTGGGCGCTGGCGCTCGGCTGCAACGAATCAGTCCTGCCGGGCTCCGGCTCACTTACAGCCGACACGCCCCAATCGCTGCCCTATACCTGCTATCTTTAGGCTTACTTCATTTTCTTTCGGGGATAACTAAAGAATTCTGTCCACGCAATTAAACGTTTATTATTAATTTTTAACACATTTACATCACCTATGCAAAAAAAGATGGATAGGCAGAAACGCCGCTTAGAGTATGATATGCTAAAGGCTTTATCATTCATACTCTCAATAATAATAAATAACACATTTATGAACATTATTCTATATTCTGGTACAACTATTTCTGACAAAAACTCAGCAACATGCTAAGACACTGAATATACACACATCAATAATGCAAAGGACATAGCAAAGCGTAAAAATAGGATAAACATAAATAATGCAGAAGTCTTCAATCATAAGTCATATAAACGAGATTAAACGATGGGTTATCTCCTTCCTTAACCACAAAATTCACAAATTCCCATTAACCGAAGTAGTGAAAATCATATTATATTTCGATGCAAGAAAGGAAGATTCTTCCATTCAAATCGAAACGTATACGAGGAACTAATATCAACCTAAGTTCAGCGTTACCTCACCCGTCCTATCTGTTAAGGTAATACGTTTCAACAGCTTCAAATTAATTTCTGAATCAAGATAAGAATGGGCTATGGCCGATTTTCATTTGGCATTTTTATCAACACATTAATTGTAAATCGAGAAATCCTCATAAAAATCAATGAGGCGTTGATTAAAAAACACATTTGATAAAATAAATATATAAATTTGATGGTCAAATTCATACTCGATTATTAATCTAATACCAAAGAATACAGCATGAGCTATCACGTTTACTAGACACTACATTCAACAAACGAGAAGAACAGATGCAAGCCACTTCATCTCGACATTGGAAATTTTTTTTAAAATACGAAATACAGGTATTTACAACAGCTGAGTGCTATTTCACCGATTTAAAATTTATCATTATCTTGCACCACGTGCCAGCAATGCGTAATTGGATACCATTTAATTATTTCCGGCTTGGTGACGAGACGACACTTCTGAACAATATATTTCAAACCATGCCAGCAATTTGTA